TGGAAGCAGCAAGAGAAAGGCGCTAAAATGCAAGGGGCACTTACCAGTCGGTCAGACGGACGATCCGCCGCAAAATCACGTCATCCGGAACACCGAAGCGCAGGAACTGGGGGATGCTAGTGCAATAGATGACGATGAGAGGGGAGTTACCACAGCATATAAAGCATTATACGCAGTAAGCTAACCTTACATAATTGTGAGCTGCGGTCTGAAGGACAATGACAAACAAATGAAATTCTACTGGGATGTGATAATTCGATATGGCTGGCTAATGAGAGCAAATAAACCAGAAACTGCCGTTTTGCGCTTATTGTCAGTGGGAGTCGGATTATTGTCAATGTTAGGGTTGAAGCTTGGGTTAGAATAAGGACACAGGAGTATTTATGAATTCCTGGGATTTTGCGTAAGGCTATGTATATTGCCGGGGTCCTCATTCTTGTGTCTTACCCTACTTCATAACTGTTGAGTGATGGTCGCTATACGGTTACCCACGGTGATCCCAACAGTAAAACGTTAACTCCGTATTCAGACTTACTAACAATACATATTAATGAATTTCGCCCTCCCGTGACCGTGAATGGTGCCCCAATCGCAACTGAAGATGTGACTCAATGTTTTTAATATAAACTTGACCTGTATGCAAATCTCCGGTGTTTTCAGACTGGGTTCGAACTTCCCCATGACAAAGACAGCAAGCAAAGTAAAAAATTATTATTCGAGTCCTTGCTTCTCCATTTCAAAATAGGTAACTAGATTTAATCTGAAGCTAACTGTGAAAAAATATACCACATTTTATGATGCCACTTCTGAAGTGTTTAGCTTACGTGGAAATCCAGGAAGTCAGGTATTCAACGACGTTAGGCATCCGGCTAAAAAGCAACAAGATAAGCTTTCAGGTGAGCAGTAAAAAAACGTCAGTGAAAGAAAATAGACAAATGTGTTTAACTTACAAGAAGTGTCGGATCAGAGGAATCTCAAAAAAGTCATCTTTAATGGGTAGGAAAGGAAGCAAGCCGAGGTAGTACTTGAACAGTATCCGAATCACCTCTTTGATAGGAAAAAATGTGGGAATTCGGGGATTCTCACTGCGGCACTTTTTGTTCACAATGTCAGAGAAACCGCCCCACACTGTAATCTCCTCTCTATTAAACTCCTTGATCATGTCCGATATCTGAAAGGAGTCGAAGGAAGGGTGAGTAGGAAATAGAAGAGGAAAGATGCTGGGTAAGGGCAAACAGCAGCTACCTGAGGGAGTGAAAACCTGGATTGGCGAGGAATGCAGTGGAGTGCGACTTGGCACGGACTGATAAGGGTAACAAACAACACCTTACTTTACCTGACGCCGTATATTTTTTTAAAAACGCGGGGGAGGACTCGGACGACGTTTGAAGGCTTCACGGCATTTGAACTTGGCAGTTCGATTAGTTCAGCGTCTGAGGTGTCCCAAAAGGATCAAACAAGAACCGGTCGGGAGTGTGGCGGATGGCCAACAATGCTGTCCTCCCTTCATTCTCCCAGGCCCGTTGTCCCAAAGTCATACATCGTCACGGGCAGCTGCTTTAGGCTCACTGACCTTAAAACGCTTGACCGATAGTCACTCGCACACAGGTGCGAGCACACGCGTGCCCAACTAGTCGCGGTTTCTCAAGAGCCACTTTAACACGCCACCTCGCGGCCACGCAGCAGGGGACCTCTACAAGCGACACCCTTTTTGAGCAATGCAACACAGCAATAGCAAGCCACCTGAACTCGCTTCCGTCATGTATAAGCAACTGTCATCATCACATCTCTCACATCACGCATACTCTCGGGCACGACTGGACGCAGTCAACATCAGCCCTGGCTTCGCCGGCGGCTATTGCTGCCTGAGATAGCAACTTAGGGTCCTGAACGCAGCAATAAAGCCCTCACTCTGGTGACTCTTGCCTTTTATCTGCAACCTGGAATTCCGCCTGATGATTGTTGCGCCTTAAGCATAAACACTAGTTAGACGCTATAAGAGTTCCTAGAAGCC